CCACCCCCCCCCCCCCCCCCACCCCCCCCCGCGTTTTGGGGCTGTAAGGGAGAAAGGAAGAGGGTTTTCACCCTCTCCGCCTTCGGCAACCATCCAACACGCCCCCCAAGGTCGGCAGATGCTTTAGTCACAATGTAGTCTTTATTTGCTCGTTACACCTTTGGGGGGTTACTTGTCGGGGGATGATATTACAACCCCTTAGTTTACAGATGCTCCGCAACGGCCCATAGAAAAAGATAGAGATTACAGACCCATATGATTTGGGTTCAAAGGCTAGTGCCATAAGTAATTTGGAGGTCCAGGTAGGGTTTATAAGGGACTCTAACCCCGTAATGGAAACCCGTATAGTTAGAGGGACTGTAGTCTTTATGGAGCCCATTTTGGGTTTCCATGTTAGTCTCCGGGAATGCAAACCCTAAACCGCGAGTTTACGGAATGCGGGGTTCGATAGTTGATGGTTTAGTTAGCGTCCTACGGGGTTCTGCTGCATGTGAGCTGGACTCAACCTAGAGTCCAGTTCCAGGAGCCTTACTGGGGGTTAGCAGGGGATGAGGGACTATATATATATATATATAGGGTACAAGGTATAGGGTTTAAGGTTTAGTAGGGGATAAGGGAATATATCGTACATAGGGACTATATGAGCTATAACCAAATCTCCCTAAAGGGACGTTATACAAGGGAGAATAAAGAGGAGTATTATAGGGTTATTAAAGGTGATACTAGGAGTTTAGGCTAGAGCTCATATGGGGATTATATTCCTTGATTCCCTACTGAGTACGAATCTTTGGAAGGCGTACCCAAAGCAGAGCTAACATTCGGTCCGGATAGACCGCGGTTTATAGTACTTGACGCAATCCGACATATCTACGCAATCCGACATATCTACGCACCTATTGAGCCAAAACTCCTTCAAGAAACCTCTTTAAGGGACTTTTCGGGAGCATTATAGGGATTATTAAGGGGGATATTGGGAGCAAGGTTTTTGTGTTTGGTCCCAAAATCAAATTTTATCCATTGCATGGTGGCTGGGTTCTTCCATCAAAGGTCCCGAAACTTCACCTCACAGGCTCTAATCTCTGATAAATGGCTTGTGATTTCCTGCGTTCAAGGTTCTCCGGTGGATACTAAAAATCCTGCATTACCTTAGATACCATATACCTAAGGAATTCTGGTACTATAGTAGACTAAGCTCATGCAGGATTTTTAGCATCAAGAGTTTCACCCCAAAACCGTCATCTCTATGGTCGTGAGTTGTTGGTCTTTGTGCTTCCCCAGTGTGATCGGCTGTGTGCCTTGGACCATGAAGGGTGGACATAGGGGCCCCTTTGGTACAGTAGTTCAGAAGTCCCAGAGCTGTACTCCATTCCCAGGTATGTTAATTATATAGGAATTTGTTCGTGGCTGTAGCTCACAAAAAGAATGAAGATATACATACACACAGAGCTATGTAAGGCATGCGCATGGGGCTTACGTTGCTGCCTTTGCAAGATACTGCCTAGCCCAACTTTGTCAAGAATCTTGGACACTGAGCGTTACAACGGAAATCGGCAGGCAAGAGGTCGCCACAATCTGGCATTCGCCATGCCTACGTAGAAAGCAGGTCCAAACTTCTTTTGAGGGCTGATATGTGTAAACAGTCTTGAGCGTTGCCAAATATTTCTATCAACGCATCAGCTCATTGATGAAAACACGAGTTGTTTGCCAGTCTGGTTCATCAGAGGTCTCTGTGAATTATGGGTCCCAAAAGTCGGGAAGGTAGCATAGAAAACACGGCGTCACCTCAACATATAGGGACCTGTCGAAGGCGCTTTGAACGAGCTCACCATGTAGCTGCCGGCCCACGTTGTGTGTTTTTGGAACCGCGGACTCCTGCTGGAGGTTCTTCTCTATGGTGACCTTACGAGTGAGACCCGCTGGGACATCTCCTGTCCCGGTGCAGCGCAGCGATAATGGGATTTTTGATTTCTGCTGTGTGCATTTAATGTTCCAATCAGCCTGGACAGGGCATGGGGAGCATGCTGTGGGTAAAACGAAACATGAGCCCACAAAGTCTACCGGTAAAAAGTTAGCTTGGAAAGTCCTAATTTTTCGGTTAGCAAACGCATGTGCATCGGATGCTGAACAATATCATATTACAGAACTTCATCAACAGGGAGAGCAAGGTTGATGCGCACAATTGTCGCTTGTCTACTTTCACCCATACCTACTGTTGGTTATGGCTCATGGCTGGCTGAAAATACCTATAGGAAGAATAGGCGACAATACACATAAAACCTATGGGCGGTTGCAGTCTGCTTCGGCAAGCTCATGTCAGACTCCCACACATGCCTACGCATACAACAATAGAATCATCCGATTTCGCTCGTTTTCAAAAGTATATTGCACTGGGGTCTGGCTGAACCCTAGGTTTTTGAGCTATAGTTACTTGAGATTGAAGGCGCAGGACATTCGGCAAACTGCGTCGGGAACCGATACGGCACGGCAATCTTATCCCTTGAGATTGTAAGCCGCGTTATCTTTGATGGGACATGTCTGGCACGATGACAAGAACATGTGTCTTGAGGAAGGTGTCGAAAACCAGAAACGCACAAGCCCCCACGAGGCCTCCAAATTCGTGGGGTAAGTATGCGCAGCGGACAGCTAACCTGCAACTTCCACACTTTCCAGCAGCACAATCTACCATTTATTACCAGCTTCGAATATCATAGAAAGCAACGTAGGTTGTAGCCGGGAGTTATTGAGACTATGTAGCGGTTTAGGGTTTTGAAGTTTGATAGCATGGTGGTGTTCAGGGCTCCCATACTTACGTATTTTCGGGATTCAGGTGGGCGGGGACGGGTAGGCAATGCTTGTTTTTGTTTGATAAGGCAGCAGCGGGCTTGCTGTGACATGGCATCTGCCCAGAACAAGCCGGAGAAAACAAATTCAAGCTAAATTCAAAATAAAGTGGTTATAACGAAATCCGGAAAATGTTCAAATCAACTTCCAGATGGTCGTGGAATACGGGACCCGGAAATAACGTCTGCCCAAGACCCATTCCGTTTCACTGCTTTTCAACTGTATAGTGACCAAAGTTTCACCCCCTGCATAATTTTGAGTCTGGCATCTCTCCCCCCGTTGCATCCCGTAGGATTCCATAACATATGGACGTTGAAGTACACAGCAATTGGGGTTCCCTTCAGGGTGGGAGCCAGAACATCGAGCCGGTGAGACAGGGGATGTGCAGGTTAAGAGGCAGACATGCGTCTCTAAAATGTCGGTATCCACCACTGAAAAGTTACAAGTAAAACGCCTCATCATGTGACATCCAGAGAGGAACTAAAACTTTGGCGTGCATTCACTCTGGATGCATGAGTGTAAACCACAAGACCCTGAGGGGCTGAAATCCTACAAGTCTCTAGTTTGGGCGGCTAATCTGGGATCCTAGCTTTAATGCAGCCTAGAAGCTCGAAGGCCCCACAGATTCGAACAAGGAAGGCTTCAAAGCAGAGCTGTGGCAAGGTTGGCTGGCTGTCCGGCACATCCACAGTGGGAACGCAGGCGCGACAAACCCTTTACTGGGGTCATTTTGGGGGCTTCAGGGTAAAGAGAAATTGTTGAGAAGCGAGCACCTGCACCATTTCCGGTGTTGTTGTGGAGAGGGTCCGGGTAGCCTGGCTGGAAATCAAGCTCGTGTCCGTGGCATCCTCTGCCGACCTGGGTTTTTGGAGCTGGCTCGCGATTTGAAGGTCGCGATCACGCTCCTGCCAAGCCCTGTGCGCGTGGTCGTTGCGACGCGAATAGCAGATCTGATGTAATTGTGGGGACTAGATGGCGCAGAATTACAGGTTTCGTCGTTTTTGCTGGAGTGGCCTTGGAATGATGGATTTTGGCCCGGGAGTGTTCCTGGGTCCTGGAGTGTTTTTTTGGAGCGATCTTGGACTTGTAGTGTACGTGCTAATTGTTCAAAATACCTGTCCCCAAAACGGCAATAAGGCGGCTTCCCTTTTGGTCGGGATCCCCCTTTGAGGAATTGTATCTTCCTTCAAGAACTTCTGAACTGAATCTACCACTGTATGCTCTTGCAGAACCCTGACAAAACAAGCTGCATGCAAAAGGCTTAGAAGTTCGAGTTTATTTATGGCATTTAGGCAAATTTAGGCATTTGGATCTAGTAATACCCGTCGATGAATTTTGCTAGTGCTTCTTTAGTGACACACTCATCAGGCTGTTCGGCTTCTGGTGACGCTCTAAGCCCTAAAGCCTTCAACCCCTGTCAGTTTGCAGGGCCAGCACCGTCCACTTCAGCTTTCAAGCTCTACCCAAACCCCTTATAGGATCCAAGAAGAGGAGCCCACCCAAAAATGAACCCAGGACTACATTAGCCGCGTACAGTAGGGAAACTAGGGTATTGTCCAATCAGCGATCCTCTAGGGGTTTTGGGGAATGTAGAAGCCTTTCAGACAATCTGCCACTCTCCATTCCTAAACGGTTTGATTTGTGAAGCCCAGCTGCGGTATACAGTTTTTTGATCTCTTCCTAGTTTTTTTTTATAAACAATTTGGGCTCCATGTTGGGGGGGTCCCAAGAATGAGACCATCAACCCTAAAACGCTAAAACCTTCAACCCTAAACCTAAACCCTAAGCCTTAAAATCCTATACCCTGAACCCTAAGGGGAGCCCCGATTTTATGGACCCCCCCTCCTTTCCCCCAATTGCGTCTCTGCTTCATTGGGGGGAATTTTGGGGATCCTTGGTGGGCTATGTAATCAGGGTTTAGGGTTTGGGGTTTTAGGGTTCAGGGGCTTAGGGTTTAGACCAACGGGTTTAGGATTTAGGGTTTAGGGGCTTAGAGTTTACGGCACAGAGGGAAAACATAAATAGACCACCAACCAGATGAAAGCATGCAGGTGTACAGGTTCAAGGAGGATGTGAACAAAGCCACGCTGAAGCTGGAGGAGAAGGCGGTTGAGGGTTGTGCGTTTAGGTTTTCTGGCCTTAGCAAGATCATAAGGTGGTCCTCGACTACCAGCAGTTCCGTTCTACTCCCCTTATCTCAAATTCATATGGGCTTTCAAAAATCAGAGGCCTTCTTCTGAGCCCGCATGAAGGAGTCCTCCGCCACATTTGTGAATCAATAAACTGTCTTGGGGTAGGCTTGAACATAATTGCGAGTTTTTATTATCCTGAATCCCTATATATTCCTGTAAGGCCAGAACATCTGATTTTTTAGAGCCCCCAAACCTACCCTTGTTTTGTGTCTGGCATTTGTAGAAAATGAACATCACATCTCTTGTACATAGTATTTCATCCCAAGCTCTCAAAACCCTGTTATTACAACGTCCGAAGCGTTACCTAGAGTAACCCAGCCTTAAAAACCCAGTACAGATGCCAATGCGTTAGGTACAAAGCCCTTTGCATTGGGCACCCTGACACCCTAAACCCAATGCCCCAAACCCAGGCAAGGCCGCAACCCGCAGCTCAAAGCTTCCCTTAAAGGGTCCAAGGACCCAAATAATAGGGTTTTAGGGCCCAAGTACCAGCAATATTATATAGTATTTGGGCCCTAAAACCCTATTATTTGGGTCCTTGGACCCTTAGGGCTTTAGATCCCATAAGGCTGACTCCTCGAAACCCTTCCCGCCGCTCTCTCTCTCTCTCTCTCTCTCTCTCTCTCTCTCTCTCTCGCTCGCTCCACGTAAGGCTAAACCCTATAACGCCTATAACTGGGTTGCTATCAATGCTCAGGAACTTTTTCGAACGTGCTATAATAAGGAAACCCCATTATTCACTATCTACTGAGAATATGGTAACTTTAGCCGCATGACTGCACGCATGGACCCTTAGCCCTAAACCCCAAAACTTACATCCCCAAAACCCTAGCCCATGAGCCCTAAACCGTGAAACCGAAACGCTAAATCCCCCAAACCCTAAGCCCTCAACTCTCAGCCCCAAACGCAAGGAACCTCAAAACCCTAAATATCCCCTAAACCCTACACCATAAACTTTTTCAACCTAAACCCTGTATCCCCCAAACCCTAAATCCTCTGAACTCTAACCTTAAGCTTTAAACTCCAAACCCTACATCCCAAACCCTAAACCCCCTAAACCCTAATCCCCAAACCCTAAACCCTATAAGCCCCCAAAAGGCAGTCCTTCGGATCGTGAGCGAACCGGCGGACCTTTCCAACGCAGATGCCGGGAGCCCTGAGCTAGCTGCCCCCGAAGGTTCAGGAGTTTAGGGTTTAGGGTTTAGGGTTTAAGGTTTAGGGTTTAGGGTTTAGGGTTTAAGGTTTAGGGTTTAGGGTTTAGGGTTTAAGGCGTTCCTCAGTGCCGCGACACGA